TGGCTGCTGGTGCAACATCAATGTATTATTGTGTAGAAACAAGACAGTTATTTGTTGGTTTGGACAATGGAACCATAAATGTACACAACTCAAAACCCTGTTTAGAAATTCCTCCTTTTGCGTTTGGCAACAAATGTGTCAGATTTTATTTTTAGGAATTCATTCTGGAACAAGATTATAATCGAATGACAGCTATGCGTGAATATTCTGCGCATCAGGCAAGGGTTACAGGTGTCATATTTGCTCCAAATTGTGAATGGGTTTTAAGTATAGGCCGAGATAAAATGTTTCAGTTACATTGTTCAGAAACCGGTCAAAAAGTAGGATCATATCAGACTGATGCTTGGTACACTGCATTGCAGTATCCTTTTCTACAAATAGTCATTCATAATATTATCAAAAGATTATAAACCTGTCCAATATTCTTTAAGTTCATTGTCAACAGATCTCCTTAACTTGCACAGATTTGATGTTCAATCAAAACATGCTTTCGTTGGTGATTACTCTGGACAAATAGAAATGTTGAAGTTAGATGCTAACGGTGTCACATTGATCACTACGTTGAAAGCGCATAGGGGGAGTATTCACACATTGGCATGGGATTCTGAGAAGCAGCTTTTGTTTTCTGGAAGTTTCGATCAAAGTATCATGGTGTGGGACATTGGAGGGCGCCAGGGAACAGCATACGAGCTTCAAGGGCATCAGTAAGCAATAAGTACACACCGTAACATAATCTGGATGTATACTACAAAAATTTATATATTATTTTACAGCAACAAGGTAACAGCACTGTGTTACGCAAGTGCTGAACGTGTTCTATTGTCTGGAGGAGAAGATGGAGTAATAGTTTGTTGGGACATGGCTGCAAATAGAAAGGAAACAGCAGCATGGGTGGAGTCAGACACATGTCAAGTACGTGTTCAGAAAATTAGAAAGAACTTGTACAATATTCCTTTAGTTTGTTTTCATGTAACAATAATAACGATACGATAAAAAATGTAGGCATGTGGAAGACCATTTTTCTGGAATATTAAAGCCATGATGGATCAACGACAATTAGGACTGAGGCAACATCACTGTCGTCATTGCGGTCGTGCATTGTGTGCACGTTGCACGTCCCAACGAATATCGATACCAGCAATGGGATTCGAATTTGAAGTCAGGGTTTGCGATCCATGCCACATACAACTGAAAGCAGCAAAGTGAGTATATCCCCATATAAACAAGATCCGACGCTCGTCGTTGGGATTTCACTTATTTCCCCCATTTATCATTTAGCCAAACATCTTTGGCGTCCTTCCATGACGCAAAACATAGCGTTGTCGGAATGGATCTCGACGCACCGAGAAGAAGATTATTAACAATCGGCCAAGATCGTCTGATTAAGATTTGGGATATTTCTGCGCTCCTTCAATGAACTTCCAAAAATATTCGTTTATAAGTAAGAAAACCAATCAAATCGTAAGAGACACATATAAGGAAAACTGTCATATTCCAATGTAAAAGCATACTATTCAGAGCCTATTTTTATGATCATACAATCAATTTGTTCGATTACAACCGAATGGGTTTTATACATCACAATTTACTCCGCGTATGGAGCCTTTAATCGTCCATAAAATGACAGGATAGACTTTATAATTTACAAGCGTAATTTCTTTCCAGCAAATAAAACTAATGTGTACACTTAGCAAAGAAAACAAATAAACGTTAGTATGTTTTTAAATATTTATATTTAGCGGAGTCGGATTTACGGATTAACGAACTTACGAACTTAAGAGTTTACGAATGACCAAAACTTCGTATATACGCATCTCATTCGGGTTTTGTAATCAAACTATGTTTCAAACCGCAGAGGCAGATTCTGTTGCTGCTTTGTTGAAATGTGCATAGAGGATAGCGATCGTAAAATGAAATCTGTTTCT